GTTTGTTTGTTTTGCTCTGTAACAATTATCTTCATATGTAATCAGTAATAAAGCTACTAACTGAGGCTTTTTGCTGTGACACCTGAATGATACGATTTAAGGAGATAAGGGTCGGGTCACGTTGCAGAGTTGAGACTCCACTTCTTCTGCGAGCACATCAGGATGCCACACCGACCTGTCTCATGAGTCATGAGCTGAAGAGTTAAGGAAGTGATGAGGAGGAAGTGAGCTTCCTCGGAGCAGCTGTGTTATCTACCTGTGGACGGTGGGAAATTCCCTGACGACGTACACGTGGACCCGACTGCACAGGAACAAGGAAATGGGATTTTTACCAAGAAGTCACAGTGATTTTATTTCTGTTCAAGGGCCTTTGATCCCATAGGTGATCGTGTTTTTCTGTGTCCACGTGTGTGCATCTGTCAGTCTGTTAAGTTCTCATGAACTAGTTGACAGACAGATTTTGTTCAACTTTTCAGTGCACTGCAAGATGGCTGCTGCAACCAGCTGACGTTAGAAAACACAAGTAGCTTTGTGTAGATCTAGTAGAGTGCTGTATGAATGGGTAAATGAAGACACTGACTGTGTTGTAAAGTGCTTTGAGTGTCTTGATAAGATAGAAAGGTGCTATATAAGTACAGTACATTTACTAAACTAAGAATACACAAGGCTAAGAATACACTAAGAACTAGTAGTACAAAAACAATGCGCCAAAAAAGCAGCAGCATGAACACGAGTCTGTGAGAGCAGGTGAGGACTAATGAACACAGTAACATGAAATAATCAGCATCATGGATAGTCAGCAGCACACATCAACAACCAAGTGGCATTACAGAGATTTTCAGTTGTTGTTGTTTTTCTTTTCACAGTAATTTTCAGTTTTTCTTTTTTCAAGGTTAATTTTCTTTTTTTTTCACAGTGATTATTCTGGTTAGAGATTCATGAGTCTAACAGCCTCAGGGTAGAAGCTGTTCCTCAGCCTGGTGGTTCTGCACTTAATGCTCCTCAACCTTCTGCCTGAGGGGAGCGGGGCAAAAAGTGTGTGTGCTGGGTGAGTGAGGTCCTTCACGATGCAGGTGGCCCTCTATCTGCATCTGGAGGTGTAGATGTTTGTGATGGTGGGGAGACTGACTCCAACAGACTTCTGTGCAGCCTTCACTACTCTCTGCATAGCTTTGCTTTCTGCAGCTGTGCAATATTCTAAACAATGTTTCTAAACTCTAAACGCTCTAAAAGAGCACAGCATGTCATGATTTCAGCTCTCTGCCTTTGGCTGCTTTTTGCCACCTGCAAGCACTTTTGGCCACACCCACTTCTCTGCTCTGCACAGATAATAGCTGATCAGCTGCAGTAGAAAGCTTCTCCTGCAGTATTGGCTGCACAAACGTGCAGCAGGTGCTAAATAATTTAAAATGTTTATTTTAAATACATTTGTAAAAATTCCATGCCGATCGTGTAGCTCATCCATCAATCAGCCAATTGTGTGTTATGTCCAATCTTATTTTGAAAAACTGCGATAGAGCGAGTCCGCAATAAACGAACTGCAAAGTAGCGAGGGACTACTGTATATCTACATAGAAAACACACAAGCAAAGCACAACTAGCTTTAATAATTAACCTTTAATCGAACCATTAAGCATACAATTACAATGCAATTATGTCATTTACTTTCATTTATCTTCATACAAATGAACATGTGGTACTTCCTGTTTAGCTGCTCATGAGGTTGGCCACAGAGCTTTATCCATCTTTTATATTTTTTCCAGACTCAGTTTAGGTTTTGAAAATTAAATAAACTGTATTCCACGCTCTAAACACTCAGAGTAACCATGTCTGAATTGCATGTTCTCCACTGACAACATTTAACAATTTTACTGATGATTTTTCATTCAATCCCTCTGACCACAAAAAGTTAATGCAAAACCCCAAAAATGTGGTCGCAGGATAAGGGGGGTGCTGCTCCTGCAGGTAAGGGGTGTTTTACTGTAGGACAAATTGTGATCACTGATTGGTCAGTTGTTGACAAGTCTACTGGATTGATTGACAGGTGGTGTTGAGGATGTGACTTGTGCAAAAAAAATAAATA